GACCAGAGCAGCTACTACTACGACACGGAGGTCTGCTCCAGGGATGGCATGGCCACGAGCGACTGGACAGGTTTCCTGATGATGGTGGCTGTCTGGACACTGATCGTGGCGGCCATCAGCGGCTACGCGGGGTTCCGCTACGCCAGCATGCGGGACTCGGACTGGGTCCTGGTCTCGCCCGAGCCCAATGAGATGACAGAGGAGACCACCCACACAGACAAGATGGAGGATCCGCTTCCAGGCGTGCCAGCCTCACTGGTTATGATGCGACCGAGTCAGCCTACCAGGAACGTGAGCACGCAGTCCCAGATGACCTACAAGTGGAAGTGGGCGGTCCCTCGATTCCAACCAGTCCAGGACCACGCGCACGGTGCCTTCCTTGAAGTGCGTGTGGACAAGGCCAAGGGACTTCTTTTGAACTGACAGTGAATGAGGCTCAGTCGATAGGACCTTGAGCGGCTGCGCCTTGCCTTGAGCCGTTCTGTTTTCTCTTCTTTTCTCCTCCTGCCATCATGCTTAATATCAGAGTTTCGAGCTATTTCTTTCCCTTGGAAGTTGAGTTGAGCTTGCTGACCAGCCAGCGAAGTTTGAGTTCTTTGCTGGGCAGAGTTTCAGTTGTTCGTTTCTTTAGCCTGAGGGACGCCTCAGCAGGTCTTTTGGGGGACGCCCCACCGTGACAAGTTTTCGGGAGTCAGTTGAAAGCTCGACTCAGTGGGTAGCCAAGCTTCCAAGGGGGCGTGTTGTAGATTGTATTTGCTGGGGTCAGGGACCCCCGTGTGCAGGAGTCAGCATGTTAGGGCAGAGAAGGAGCAAGCACTGCAGGTCCTTTGGCTTCGAGGGTTGAGAGGAAAAGCCTCGATATTGCTACAAAGACAGAACTAGAGGCCCTCAAGAGCGCCCCAAGATGGCCCGGGGGCCCCCCAAAACGGCCCCAACACGGCCCCAAGACGGCTCTGGAGCGCCCCGAAACAGCCCAAGAGGCGCCCAAGAAGGCCCAAGAGGGCCCCGAAAAAGCTTCAAACGAGCCCCCACAGGGCGTTCAAAAGTACAAACATCTAACTTTCCGCCCCAAGTGGGCCCCAGGAGGCCCCAGGAGGGCCCCAAGAGGCCCCAAGAGGCTTCCAAAGGCCCCGAGGACTCCCAAAAAGAACCCACGAGGCCCCAAAATGGCTCTCCAAAAGGCAGCCAAAACGGCCCCCCAAGAGGCTTCAAAACTGCTGAATCGCCCCACTTGACCGCCACCTCCGGAACGGCTTCGCTGCGCTGCTCCGTTGTTTGCCAGACAGTGGCATCCCACGCAAAACACCAAAATGCTTGAAATCCCGGGTTCGCAACCAAATTCCCGGGAAATCGGCTGCGAACCCGGGATTCGGCACATTTCCCCGGAATTCGGTAGATGTCCTTAGCATTTCCAGGATCCGGTACGTTGCCTGCATGCTTGCTGCCCTATGCCCTATCGCATCCCAGAATAATCGTTCCATGGAGGTTTCACGAGGGCCCTTCCAAGTCATTAAGGAAACATTGTTTTCCACACGTGTTCGCACACATGCATCCGTAGCCGTTGGCTTACATTTTTAAGCTGTCGCATACGGCACATCCTCGATGTCTGTATTCGCTTGCTTCGATTGTGGCGAGACCCTGCCTGCAGAATCATTCTCCACAACACAACTTCAGCAGTCCAATCGGGCTTGCAAGTCGTGTGCCAGTCGACGGGAAACACAGTCACGGTCAGCCCCCCAACACAAAGACTATCAATGCACTCGTTGCGGGGACATGCACGATCGAACTCACTTCAGCCCTTGCCAGCTGCACCGATCCACTCGGACGTGCAAGGCGTGCGCCACTGACGGCCGTCCGAAGCAAGACCTCTTCTCCTGCACGCGCTGCGGAGAGCTCTGGGACAGGACCCACTTCGACGCGAGGCACCTCAAAGCACGCAGCACTACGCGGGTTTGCAATTCCTGCGCCTCGCCCACTGGTAGTACTTCCACGCTCACAGACTGCAAGTCCCTTTTGCTGAATTTGGGGGTTCTCCTTTTTTCGGCTTCCCGACACTCCAAGACATCGGTCTTCTGGGCGTCCGAAGCCGCCTGGGAGGCTCCAACATCGCCCCACAACCATCCGAAAAGGCTTCCAGGCAGTCCAAGAGAGCCCCAAAACGGCACAACACGGGTCCAAGATGGCCTTCAGAGAGCCCCATGGCGGCCCAAGATGGCCCCAAGACACCCTCCGAAGCATTCCAAATCGTGACCCGGTCGTTCAGGGAGACCGCGGTTGGAGGCAGGGTGGCCCGAGGAAGTCCCCAGAGGCCCCCAGAATACGCCCAGGAGGCCTCCAGAAGGCCTTAAGAAAGCCTGAAACAACTTTTGTGAGGCCCCTAGAGGCTCTCCCAGGAGGAGCCTCCGCAAAAAAGAGCTGAGGAGGATGGGGAGAATGCGCAGGGTACGGCGAAAGTAAGGACAAATAAACATGGAGGAAGGATAACGAATAACATTATCATAGCGGCGATGCCGGAAAAGGCAACGAGGAGTTATCTCTAAATTGTCGGCTTGACCTTCCTGCTGTTCCACCTGCATACCAAACTTCAAGGACCAAGGTGCATGGCGCGAAGCGCCACTGCAGTCTTGTATATATATATATATATATATATATAGATATGTGTGTGTGTCTGTGTGTTTTTGTGTGTGTGTGTTTGTGTGTGTGTGTGTGTGTGTGTGCGTGCGTGCGTGCGTGCGTGCGTGCGTGCGTGCGTGCGTGCGTGCGTGCGTGCGTGCGTGCGTGCGTGCGTGCATGTGTGTGTGTGTGTCCTTGGGCCCCTTGACGCCTGGGCTCCGACGAGGGGCCGAGGGTCCAGAATCGTGGGCCTGGGGGCCTGGCCGGTGCTCGGCACCCAAGACTCTCCAGGAGGCTCCAGGCTTACGTCGGGCCTGTCACTCTACAGGGGGACTATCCAAACATGGTAAAGAAATGATCTGGGGACGATTCTTTGAATATGTTTGCATTTGATTTTTGCACATGTTTGGACTATTTCCTTTTTTTGCCGTCCAAAATCCGCCTGTATGGGGAACATGCCCGACCCGACTCCAGGCGGGCCAGACATGAAGGGAGGGAAAACCACCCCGACCCAGAGAATTGGCGTTTCCTACACGGCCTCGGGCGTTTGCGAAACGGCCCTGCCCCGCTCGATGCCTTCCCTGTGTGCGTCTACCAAGCGGCTTCGCGCGTCGGGGTGCTCGGTACGGGGGGGGACTTGCTGCTCTCCTCGGAAGCTGCGAGCCCCTGCCCCGCAGCCCGCTTGGGCGCGCAGCACGCCCGCGCGACCCCCCTCGCCGCGCCGCCACTGGCAGGCGGTGCTCGCCGGCGACGGCGAGGCTCGGGGATCGAGAATGGATACCCGAGGCGACGATGGGGGCGAACAGCCCCAGGGGGGGAGCAGTACCATGCATCCAGGGGCGCCGATGGTTCATGTCTTCGGCGAGGCTCCCGGGCGAACGCGTGTAATGCCCGCCCCTGGGCTATTCGCCCTCATCGATTCCGCCGAGGATGGGACGAGGCCAAATCCGCTCCAGAGCGGTCTGGGAAGCTCGCGGAGCCTGCCGGATCGCTCTGAGAGGGCCGCGGCGCCGGATGCATCCTCCAGAGCCGGCGGATCTCAAAGAGTTCTCGGCTTTCCTTTACCCGTGCTTCTCCTCGTCCTGGCTGCGCCTTGCCCGCTCCCCTGGGACCTATGCGAGGCGGTGGCCGCCACATGCTCGCCAGCTCCGCGGCGGCGCCGGCCCCACCCGAGTGCGTCCTCGCCCTGGCTTCGGCTTCGTGGGCCGATCGGGGCTCTCGGGCGCTCCGGGCCCCTACCTCTGGGCCTCCCGGCGGCGACCCCCCCGGGCGGGAGAGATCGGCGTCACCCCAGCATACTTATACCACATGTGCGTCGCCCCCCCAGGGGCGACGCGCGCACCGAGAAATCTCATAGTATATGCGTCGTGGCGGGCGCTTTCTGGCCACACCGCTCGGGAAACGAGATACTACAAGATGGGTATACTGTATGGTCGGGTCGGACGTGCGCCTCCAAGGAGGACATTTAGTATTAGTAGGTCCCTGTGCGTCTCAAGAGAGGGGGGGGGAGGCGCGGCGGCCCAGGGAGCTCGGCCGAGAGATTCTCGTTGTGGCAGCCGGGCGCCTCGGGGCGCCCTCCGCGTGGCCACGGCTGGGCGGAGCTGGAGCTGGGGACTCCAGGATTGGGCCCAGGGAGCCGGGGCTTTTGAGTGAGCGTTGTTTGGTTCTTCCTCAGGGTGACGCTTCTTCCTCCTCCTCCTCCTCCTCCTCCTCCTCCTCCCTCCTCCTCGTCCCCCTCCTCCTCCTCCTCCTCCTCCTCCTCCTCCTCCTCCTCCTCCTCCTCCTCCTCCTCCTCCTCCTCCTCCTTCCTTCCCAGTGTTATGCTGTGATTACTTGCTCCATTGCTTTCCCTCCCTTCCGCCTCCTCCTTCTTCCTCCTCCTACAGCCCTGTTGAGCAGGCGCGATGATGGTGAAAGCTTGAATACAATTGTTTCCTGCCCACGCGGCCCAAGGTGGCTTCCAGACTGGCCATGAGGCCTTCAAGACGCCCCAAGAGAGGTCCAAGAGACTCCCCACGGACTCGCACCCATGCCTGCTCATACCGTCTTCGGAGCCGGCTAGAACCTAAGCGCGCGCGAAGCGCGCGCGCGTGGTTCTAGTATGCATGTATGCATGCATGTATGTATATTTGTATATATATATATGTAGATATAGATCAGAGGTAGCACACAAGAGTAGCACTTCGGCGTCTCCTGTGCTTGCCTGCCAGCGCCTTGGTCCGAACTCGGCTGACGCTGGCGAGAGCCTGGGCGAAGCCAGCACTGTCTTTGCGCGTGCGCGCTCGTGCGCGCTCGGCCGGGGGGCCGCGCAGGCCAGGACGAGCGAGCGGGGGCGCCAGCCGTCCGCGGCCGCCTCGCGCCATCCGCGCCGGCTCCCCCCCGAGGAGTTCTCCATGGAGGTGTACCCGTTCGTAGGAGACCCTTTCGCGCGGGCCTCCCCGACCTGCCCCGTGGACCCCGCGGGCGGACGGTTTGCACGCTGTCGGGGCTCACGGTGCAAGGGCGCAGCGGTCGTGGGGGGTGGAGGGCCCGTGGCCTTTCACTCCCTGCCCCGTCGCGCGAGCTTGCCCTACGTCTTCTCCGGATGTGCTGGGACTGACGCCTGTGCCACTGTCCATGGGGGGGGTCTCTTTCATGACCATCGCCTGGGGGATCGATCTTCGATGACCTCGGCTGGCGGTGGATGTGGATCTATTCGAGGTCCCTGTGGCAAACAGATCTCCGTATTCATGGCCCGATTGGGTCCCAGGAGGTCCGTTCCACGGGCGGTGGATGCGGATCTACTCCCGCCTCGCAACTTGGCCCAGCATGGGCGCCTGAGGGCATTGCGGGCATGGGTGCGAGCGTTGGCCCCGACCCACAGGCCCCTGAGAGGAGAAGGAGGCGAGGAGACAGAGGGAGCGATTGGGCGTCGGGAGGCTAAGGAGGAGGAGGAGGAGGAGGAGGAGGAGGAGGAGAAGGAGGAGGAAGAGGAGAAGGAGGAGGAGGAGGAGAAGCACGAAAGGAACGAGGGAGGACTGCCTCCGAAGCTCCCCAGGGGTCCCTGGAGACCTCCGGCGCTCCGCTCCCTGGACGCCTCCGGATGCCTCCCGAAGCGGCGTCGGACGGGCCCAACCCAGACAGACACTTAAAACTATCGGCAACACGTAAGACTGGCCTTCAGCTGGAGTGGCCTTTTCGGGTGCTGCTAGAAGTGCCCCTGGCCCAAGGTGCCCCCAGGAATTTCTGGATGGCACAGACGGCCTCCAGAGCACCCCTCACAAGGCTCAGAGGGCCCCAGGGGCTCCAAAATGGAGCGAAAAGCTGGGGGCACCTTGGGCCAGGGGCACCTTTAGCAACCCCCGACCTTTGGTGCGCGGCTTTTGACGGTCGCGGGCAGTGGGGGGCAGAGCCAATCACGCAGGCCAGTGCTGTCGATTCCGCATCCGCATTTCGATTCGATCGGTAAACCGCGTACCGACGACCACTCCTGCCCAAGGTCAGTATCGTTTAACCGATCCCCTATCCCCGTCCACATCCCCATCTTGAGCCCCACCATTCCACCACCCCAGCTTGGTATAGACCCCTCGACACCCGAAGGGAATAGCCTAAATCCCCATCTGGGGTGTAGATCGGCCAGTGGGGCCCAGTGGGGGTAGGGGTCGGTGAAGCGATGCGCACAAGCGCATCCGAGGTCCCGTCCTCCTGCGCAGCCGATCCTGGCAGGAAGCCGGAAGGGTGGGCGGAACAGCTTTTGATCACAAAGTTGTTGCTGCTCTGCAATGTTGTGGGAACTTCGGCCGAGGAGCTGGCGGGGGCCAGCTGGATCAGGAGGACATGGTACCCATGCCGCTAACCTTCCCTCGTTTTCCCTTTCTTGGCCTCCTGGGAGGCCCTTGTCGCCACCGCTGGATTCGCCTCGAAATCTTGGTCAGAACGCAGCCTGGGAGAGGTCTGGGAAGCAATGGCATCGGTCCTTTGTTTGGTTTTCCCAAAGGAGCTTGCCAGGGCCGGCTGGAAGGGCATGCGCGGTGGGAAGGTCGATTAGACGTAGGAGAGGTGACTTTTCGCCAGAGTGACCGGTGGTGCGGGTCCAATGGAGTCCCCCGATCGTCGAGCGCGAGGCGGCAGTGGCGTCTTGCACGCCTTGTGTGTTGCCCCCCCGCGGCCCCCAAAAAGCCGCGCACCAAGGGTCATTCTTACCCAAGGACACTCTTGCGTGTACAGCCGGACCGAGGTACAAGATCGAGGTAGAATCGGGGAGGGTATCCTAATGTTTTTCGTGCTTGTCAGATGTTCTTGATCATCCTGGGGAGGGTACCCTTGGATGTTCTGTGTGTTTTGGCCGGCGGAGGGTCTCATGTTCTTGAGGAATGTCCTTCAGGCCTAGAGCCGACTGCACCCGAGAGCGGGGGGTGGGGACGGAGGCGTGCTGGTGTGCTTGCTGGCTTGGCCAGGAGAGGGGCAGGGAAGGGAGAGGGGAGGCTCGGGGGATGGGGGGCAGGAGGGAAAGGCTGAGGGGGCGGGGGGGGGAGGCTGGGGAATACATAAATATATATATATATATACAGAAAGAGAGAGAGAGAGAAAGAGACAGAGACAGAGACAGAGACAGAGAAAGAGACATAAGCAGAGACAGGGGAAAGAGAGAGAGAGAGAGGGAGTCAGGGGGAGAGGAGCGGAGGGATGGACAGCCTCCTCATCATTCCCCCATCGGCTTCCTGGAGGGCTACGGGTTATACTCCTCCTTCTCCCCCTCATGCTCATTCCCCTCTAGTGTTTTCCTTTTTGCGCGGCGGCTCCAGCATCCATATTAACCCGCGCTAGTCAAACATCACCGTTATTTCTCCCAGGTTAGATCCCCGAGCGCTTTGATTATCTTCTGTTCTTCCACCTTCTCCTCTTTCTGTTCCTCCTCCTCCCCCTCCTCGTCCTTGCCCTGCTTCCTTCGTCGGCTCTGATAGGACAGCGGCCCCTGAGACAGGTCACCTTCTCGGCGGGTGTTTGGAGCACTCGCAAACAAGAAGCATTGTCGTGCCCCCCGGAGATCCTGTCTCAGTTTCTGTGTCTTTCTGGACGGAAGGTCGAGTCCAGCTCAAGGGGCCCACTGCGCTTCTGGGGCAACTGACGCACCTCTCCAGATCCAGCGCGAGCGGCAAACAGAGAGCGAGAGAGAGAGAGAGAGCGAGAAAGCGGCGGCCGCAAGATCCCACCACCGGACTGCAGCCGCGGACCGCGGGGGGGCGGGGGGGGGGCGGGGCGAAGGAGGCACGTGGGATGCGCCAGCTGCTGTGGGTGGGCGCAGTCTTGGTCCTGGCATCGCTCGGGCGTGTGCGTTTTTTCCTCGGCGAGGACCATCGAGGAGCATCCTTGACCGTTTGCCGAAAAAAAGCCACGCACGAAACCGAACAAAAACACAGGGAACGGACGCCCGAGCGATGGCGAGTGGTGCGGTGTCGACGCCCGCGCGACCGTTCAGGGTGGAGAGCGCCGCCGGTGGCCCGGCGTCGGCAGGTATCGAGCGCGCCCCGCGCTGCGGTGGGGGCGCTGCGCTGGCTGAGGGAGGTGCCCAGGAGGCTGCAGGCCCTGGAGGACTCCCTGTCTGACGAGGGCGGCGGTGATGTCCGTGGCCACGCCTCCATCGGAGTTCCGCGGGCCATCCAGACCCTGGACTCCTTGTCGTAAGGGCTCCTCATCCAGTGCCCTCCTCCGTCCCGGGCCCAGGAGGAGGAGGAGGAGGAGGAGGAGGAGGAGGAGGAGGAGGAGGAGGAGGAGGAGGAGGAGGAGGAGGAGGAGGAGGAGGAGGAGGGGGAGGAGGAGGAGGAGGAGGAGGAGGAGGAGGAGGAGGAGGAGGAGGAGGAGGAGGAGGAGGAGGCGCGATCGTTCAGCGCCGATGGAGCCAGGCGGTGGCAGCAGCAGGCGCGGGCGCCACCGCGGCGGGAGCCAGCCGCGCCCGCGACTGTGACCCGGCGCGTCCTGGGCCCACAGGGCCGCTGTGTGGGCTCCCTCGCGGCCTGGCAGCGGAGGCAGACACGCCGGGTCGCTGGCGCAGGCTTTCAGAGTCCCGAATCATCAGGGGTAACTCGGGTCAGGGCTAACTCGGGTTCGTTTTTCGGGAATCCGAACCCGACTTACCCCGGACCCGAGTTACCCCGGATAATTCGGGCGTCCAGAGCCCCACATCATCAGGGGTAACTCGGGTCAGGGCTAACTCGGGTTCCTTTTTCGGGAATCCAAACCCGAGTTACCCCGGACCCGAGTTACCCCCGATAACTCGGGCGCCCAAGGCTTGAAGTCGGGCGTGTCCCTCGACAGGAGGGAGATGCAAAAACAGTGCGAGGAAAAGTTTGGGGACGATTTGTTGATTATTTCGGGCTTCTTGTTTTTTGAATGTTTTAGGATTTCGTCCAAAATCCCCCTCTAGGGGGACCTGCCTCACCTAACGCAGGATCGGCCTGGCCTGGATGGGTGGAGCTGTGCAGCCGACGCTCTCCAGGGAGCATGGCGCGCTGCCTCGTTTGGCTTCTGGCCCTCCGCGGTCCTCCTCCTTCCCTTCGTCCCGGCTCTCCTCGTCCACTCCCTGGTTTGGTCGCTCTCGTTTTCTTTGTCTCGTCTCGTGCTGGTCACCCTCCTCGTTCTCCTCGCCGACGTCCTCTGTCTTGTCCTACTTCTGTGTTTTGCCGTCGTCGTCTTCCCCTCACCGTCCTCGCCTCCCTCCTCCACATCCACCATGGCCTTTCCTCTTGCTTCGCCCCCCCTTCCCCCCTGCTCCCCTCCATTCCCCTCCTCTACATCACCCTCGTCCTCAACATAATCGTCGGGGCACCTTCTCCTCGCTCTCGTTGTCCTCATCCCACTCTTTCTTCGTCGCCCTCCTCAATTACCAGCCCCTTTTGTCAGCCACGTCCTGCTGATACTCCTGCCCGTCGTGTCCGTCACATCCTCTTCGTAGACATCCACCTGCTCCAACACATCCGTCAAAACACCGTGCAAAACTCGTGAAATTTTCAGTGCCAACGAACTCGAATGAAAACTTAAAACATCTTGGAATGGCAAGGACGAAAGCATTCAGCAGCCTCCTGTCCTTCCCACCCTCTTCTTATCATCTCCTTGCCTTCCCACGGGTCCCACGGAATAACCTGAAACATAATATAACAACAGAAGATGGATGAAACCTTCATGCCCATTTGCTCCCCGATAATTTGTGTTACGAGTTGCTCTCGAACCTTTACACGAGCCGATGTTTCATCCCGACGCGCTATGATGACGGATCGAGGTCCGAGGGTGAGAACCATTGGTGTTGTCCGTGGGGGAGAGGGCATGTGGCTTGGTGATTGCGAAGACGGGGAGACGATATGGAGGAGGAGTAGGAGGAGGATCAGGCAGAGAAGGAGGTTCGTGATGGTGACGGAGAGGAGGACACTGAGGAGGAGGGGAAGGGGCTCGACGATACAGGCCCGGGCGGCTTCGTGGTCTTAGATCTTGATCGGCGGTGCGCTGAAGGCCTCGGGATGCTTCCACTTGAGGTCTCAGCCGCGCTCCAGCAGTCGTCAAGCAGGAGTCGCAGGACAACCAAACGACACAACATGGCAATGTTATGAATTGTTGAGGAGTGCTTCTGGGAGTGCCCTCGGCTCAGGAAGACGTGCCAGAAGTATATGTGTCTGTTCCCCAAATTAGGCTTGCCTAAGGACTTCTTACTTGGTTAAAGGATGGTGCCTCCTATCGTTACTTTGCCCGTTGCTCGGAGGTTCCTCGGGTTCCTCGGGTTCCGCGCCCCCACTGCCTCCTATTGTTATTGTTATGTTGCCCGCTTCCCGTAGGTTCCCCGGGTTCCCCAGGTTCCCTGGGTTTCGTTGCCCCTAAATAGCGCAGCGATTGCGGGGGCAGTGAAGATTGAGGAGACCAGTTCTTCCCCAAATCGTTGCCTCGTTGCCTCATGGCCTCACCCACCTGGCGCTCTGTAGGAGCGGGCGGTGTCTCTCATGCGCCTTCGCGCTCTGGTGGAGCGGGCGGTTTTCTCACGCGCCAGTGCTCCTTCTGGGAGTGCGGTCATGTCTCGTCTGTCCGTCTGTCTGTTCGTCCGTTCGTCCGTCTGGAGGGCGTGCTCCAGCCCGGGAGGGCGATCGGGCAGCCCCCAGAGCAGCGCAACGCCGCAATCGGTAGCGCCCTCCACGGGGCCCGTGGCTGATGGGTTTTTGTCCCAGCCCTCCCTCCCCTGTTGGTTACTGCGCTCCGCTGGCCAGGGGTGCCTCGGAGTTCTCCCAGGAAGGCCCCGTCCAGCTGCACGCTACCTGGCTGCCCATTGCGCGCGCGGGAGCGCAGTGCCAGGGAGTGGTGACGATACATTGTATCGGGTTCCCGAGTTTTCCCGCCCCGGGTGCCTCGTATTCTTATTATAACAGGTCGAAACGATGCCAAGCAATGCCAAGCATTGCGCCCATGCGATAGGAAGCTTTTCCTTAATTGGGGTCGCGCCTGTCAATCGTCCAGCCTTCCACCATTTAGTTGTCTCACCTCCCGCTTGGTCCTTCTGGCCTTGTCTCTCCTGGTCCCCCATCCATCCCTGCTTCTCCACTGCCGTTGAGGGCCCTTGAGCCAGGGCGTCCCTGGGCAGGAGGTCAAAGACCTCGATCCGACCCGAAGCGATCCTCGATCGGCAGCGCCGGGTTCCTTTCCACCGGTTTCTGGCGTTCCAGCATCCAGCTGCGGAGGATCTTGAAGCCAGCGGCGCCCCCCAGAGCCCACCCGAAGGCTCTGGGGAGGGCTGCTGCGGCCCCTGCTTCTTCCTTTCGTTTTTCCCGCCGGAGGCCCTGGGAGGCCCAGGGGTCCCCGCGGACGCCTTAGCTGCATTAAATAATTAAAGAATTGCTGAGGCCCACTGGGAACCGCGAACGACTCTCTAGAATTCCGAAGGACTTCGCCATTTTTGGTGGGGAGGGGAGGGGGTCCTACGGATTCTTTTTGATTCCTACATGGCGATTCGGAACTCATTATCCGGATTCCCAGCAATTCCTAAAGTTCCCTGCGGATTCCTTAGAGTCCCAAGGATTCCTTGGGCAGGATCCGTGATGTCCCCTTATGTTCACCAGCCTACACAGGAAATCTTACGGAACATTTGAAATTCTGAGAGCTTCCATAGCATTCCGAGAATTTTCGTAGGGTGGGGTGGATGGGCTAAGCGTACGGATTCGCACGAGGTCTTGCACATTCCGATGGATCTCTTGGCGCCCTCGTGAATTGCAACGGTACCTTAGTAACACCTGGAGAAAATAATGGGGTTACCAGGGATGCCTAAGGGGATGCTTGAGTATCCCGAAGGATTCATTCGGGCGGGGGGGGGCGCGGCGAACGGACTCGGTGCACGGCGTCGCGTGAGTTCCTGCGCGCCTCGAGTAGTTCGTAAGGATTCTTAGTGGGTCCCCTGGGGTTCTGAGCAAGTCTGACGAATTTGGACGACACCCATCGGATCGCCAGGGGCTTCTAGTCCGAATGGTCCCATCGGATTCTTAGAATCCGTAGGGTCCATGTGGATTCCCTGGGTTCCTTGGATTATGAAGGAACTCCGATTATTCGGGGGGCTGGGGCGGGGCAGGGCGAACGGGCTAGGCGTACGGAGTCGCAGGAGCTCTTGAGCATTCTGTTCTCATGGATTCTGGCGAGAGCCACATATCGAAAGCGACCCGCCCTCATTCCGTGAAGCTCTTGCACATGTTTGAAACGAATGTGCGCGGCGCTCCGGCGAGAGCCACATGTTTGAAAACGACCCGCCCTCGATCCGTGAAAGCCTTGCACATTCAAAACGACGCATGTGCTCGGCTTCTGGGCGAGAGCCACATTTTGAAAACCACCCGCCTTCCATATTCGGGGGTGGACAGAACCCCCAACAGTGACACGTCGATTAGTGAATTGTCCGTTTTCGGTTCTCGAGAGGGCGCCGTGGCCGTTGTTTTCCAGGCTTGCGCCCGCCGGGTTTGGGCCTCAGGTCGTTTTGCTTAAACCACGTTTTACTAAAGGGGGGTCTGTCCATCCCCGAATTTTGAAAACCACCCGCCCTCCATCTGTGGAACAGCCGTCACGTTTTAAGCTTCAGGGCCATAAGTGGTGAGGAAGTCTCAGGGCGACACGCCCGGCCCGCCCTAAGAACTGGCCTCGGGGCGCGACAGGGAGGAGTTATCTATACAAGGAGAAGGAATAGAGGAGGAATAGGAGGAGGAGGTGGAGGAGGAGGAGGAGGCGGAGGCGCAGGATGAGGGGGAGGAGGAGCAGGAGGAGGAGGAGGAGGAGGAGGGGGGGGGAGGAGGAGGAGGGCGAGGAGGAGGATAATAATAATAATAATGATAATACTGATAATACGCAGGATAACCAAATAAATATGAAGGAGAAGGAGGAGGAGGAGGAAGAGGAGGAGGGGGAGGAGGAGGAGGAGGAGGAGGAGGAGGAGGAGGAGGAGGAGCAGGACCAGTGGAAACCCAAGAGTCACCAACGATGTTGGAATTAACCATCCCCCCAAGCTCCCGCTTCACCGGCCCCTACAACGGTTCATTTCCACAGAGGGATTCGGAGAACAACCGTTTGAAAACCTCGAAGCGTGCCAAAACATTATCCTCGGTATCGCAACGCCACGGATGAACCTGACCGTTGCGTCTTGACGACATTGAATCGTGCCAGAACGCCATTCCTGGGACCTCAACTCCGCGAATCATCCTGACTGTTGCGCCGTCAAAATCGTGAGTCCTTTCAGAACTCCATGGGATGAGCGCGGCGCTAAGGCGAGAGCCTCATTCGGAAAAGGAACCGCCCTCAATCCGTGAAGCTGTTGCACATGTTGAAACGAATGTGCGCGGCGCTCAGGCGAGAGCCACATGTTTGAAAACGGCCCGCGTTCAATCCGTGAAACTTTTGCAAATTTTGTGCTAAGGCGAGAGCCAGATGTTGAAAACGACCCGCCTTCAATACGAGAAGCTCTTGCAAATCTTGAAAAAGCGAATGCGCGCGGCGCTAAGGCGAGAGCCACATGTTGAAAACGACCGCCCTCAATTCGTGAAGCTTTTGAACATGGTTTCAAAAGAATGTGCGCGGCGCTGAGGCGAGAGCCGCATGTTGAAAACCACCCGCCCCATCTGTGAAACTGTTGCCAATGTTCAAGCTTCAGGGCCATAAATGGTGAGGAAGTCTCAGGGGAAACGCCCGGCCCGCCCTACAAACTAGCCTCGGGGCTCAACAGGGAGAAGGTATGTATAAGGAGAGGGAACGGGGGAGGAGGAGGAGGAGGAGGAGGAGGAGGAGGAGGAGGAGGAGGAGGAGGAGGAGGAGGAGGAGGAGGAGGAGGAGGAGGAGGAGGAGGAGGAGGAGGAGGAGGAGGAGGAAGGAGGGCGACGAGATGGAGGAGGAGGAGGAGGAGGAGGAGGAGGAGGAGGAGGAGGAGGAGAGGAGGAGACGACGGAAGGAGGGTAGGAGGAGGAGGAGGAGGAGGACAGGATGGGGGGGCGGAGGAGGAGGAGGATAAGCAGGAGGAGGAGGAGGAGGAGGAGGAGGAGGAGGAGGAGGAGGACGAGGACGAGGACGAGGAGGAGGATGAGGAGGAGGAGAAGCAGAGGAGGGAGGAGGAGGGGAGGAGGAGGAGGAGGGGAGGAGGGGGAGGGGAGGGGAGGGGGGGGGGATGGGGAGGGGATGGGAGGAGGAGGAGGAGGAGGAGGGGAGGAGGAGGAGGAGGTGGAGGAGGACGACGACGAGGAGGAGGACGAGGAGGAGGAGGTGGAGGAGGGGAGGACGAGGACGAGGACGAGGAGGACGAGGACGAGGAGGACGAGGACGAGGAGGAGGAGGAGGAGGAGGAGGAGGAGGAGGAGGAGGAGGAGAGAGAGGAGACGGAGTAGGAGGAGGCTCGGAGGACGAGGAAGATGAGGAGGAGGAAGAAGAGGAGGTGGAGGATGGGGGGAGGAGAAGGAGAAGGAGGAGGAGGAGGAGGAGGAGGAGGAGGAGGAGGAGGAGCGAGAGGTGCGGAGTGAGGAGTACGGGATGCTGAGTGAGGAGGGAGGAGGGGGAGGTAGGAGGGAGGAGGGAGGTGTTAGTCCGAGGGGGAGGAGGAGAAGGAGGAGGAGGAGGAGGAGGAGGAGGAAGAGGAACCAGGGGGCTGCAGCAGCCTCGGAGAGGACCAGGAGGGCCCGGCGCCGGACGGGCGCGCGCGGGCGCGCGCGAGCGGCGGGGGTGGCAGGGCCGGCCGTGTGTACCAGGGCGAGGTGGCCCGGCGGCCCGCTGCCGCCCCCCGGCGGGCCGGGGCAAGGATCCTGGGGGATGGGCACAGGGGGGGGGCGCATCGACACCCCATCGCCTTGGGTCCGATAGCTCTGCCCCGCTCAGGAAGGTGCGGATCTGCTATCGGGGGATCTATCGGCGATGTATCGTCGATTCCAGGGCGCGGTTTTCCCCCCCCCCCCCCCCCTCCCCATTCTGCCAATCGCCCCCGATCGTTGCACCTCACGGGGGCGGGGCGGCGAGCTGCACAGTCAGGGGCGACAGGCGGGGTCAGATTCGGGCGAAAGGGTCCTTTGCAGCGAGGGGGTCAAAAATGTGCGCAGCACTTCGTGCACTCGTTCGTGCGGGATGCGCACATCGTACAACACCAGCACGTGGCTGCCACGCGCCATGCGCCACAGGATGAACTATGGCATTGTTTGGCGACCCCATCACGAAAGACCACCCGTGCCCGGAACCGACAGGGGTCTCAGACATCCCCGCCCGCGAGAATGGCAGCGCGACGGAGGGCTTTTTGATCCACGCCATTCCTTCTGCCTCTGGGGGCCTGCGCAGGGCCCGGGAACTGTCAGAGCAGCTGCTCACGATAACGAACGGGTCCCCGGGAAGAGGCCCAGACCTTCCTACGCTGTGAACGCGCCACGACGCCGGATGTCCCGGGCCAGTGGGAGGAGACCATGTCACGATAGTGCCAAGCGCCACGGCAGGAGTCGCCGCGAGATTCTGGCCAGAACGCACCCCAGGAGAGACAGACGGTCTGATGACCTCGACATACTTCCAGGCCTCCCAGGATGGGGTCGGAGCCGATGGGGTCGCAGGATCGCGCTGCACCGCGCAGGCATCGCCGATGCGGCGGTGCGGTTCGATGTGGAGCCCGATGTTCTCCACGCCGACGGCGCTGATGCATCGGCGATGCGGCCCGATCCTCCGGTCCCATCTGCTCGGACCCCTTCTGGGAGGCCTCTAACCACGGGGATACCTTACCGGTCGGCCTGGCACCGCGTGTCCCTGGAGCATGAGGAGCCGCAGGCGCTGTGGAGACACAGCCTTGGGGAGCGGTTAGGGTCACACGACTATCCGTTCGCTCCGAAGCACCTGAGGCTCACCAGAGGGTTTGGCCAGCCGACCTTTTGTGAAACCTCCGATAATTGGGTCTTGCTTCTGACCGCGCGGGCTGGAAGCCCGGAGGTGTGCCTGCGTTTTCGCTCGTTTGGAGCCCTAGCTGGGCCCCGGGAGCCTCAACAAAGCGACTCGGGATGAAGAACGGGTCCTATGGGGGAAGGGTCGGGACTTCAGGGCACCGCGTATGGAACAAATCACGGCGCCGCCTGTCTGGGGGAATGACCTCGTGGCCTGGAAGCGTACCCGTGTCCACGGCATCACGGCCTGGACCCCTCGACTGCGGCCCCCGTGGGGGGCAGGGTGGTGCTGCGCGGGTGCCCCGCGCCGCACGCACCCGCGACGCCGCGTGCCTTGCGGGCTCGCCCCCCGGGTGCCCAGACCGCGAGCGCCGTCGTGCGGCTGCGTGTGCTCTTGGCGCGCGAGCCACGCCCGGTGCCCTGCGTCGCGTGGGGCGGTCGTGCCCTGCCCTGCTGCCGCCCGCTGCGCACGCGGTGCCTCGGCCCCAGAGGGGGCCTGCAGCGGGCGCCTCGGCGCCTGGGCCACGTCGGGCATGTCCCTCCCTCTGGGGACGATGTTTTGATCATGTGTTGCATGTTAGGGGACTGGTTGATCATTATGGGGGCCGTTCATCGACTATGATGGACGCTGTTTTGTCGATGTTATTTTAGGGGGTCGTTTCTTCATTTTGAGCGTTTGACTATGTTTTGACTCTCCCTTTGGGGCTTCGTCCGAACTCGGCTTGCAGAAGGACGTGCCCGACCTCCTGCCTGGGGGGGGGGGGGGGCTCAGCCAGGGGGGGGGGGGGGCGCGGCCCTCGCAGGCTGCCGCCGCTGCCTGCCCCCCACGATTTATGAGGGGGAGGGCGGGGTTCACTTCGCACAAGAGGTCCCGAACGAAGTGACCCCCCTCCTTCCCCTCAGAAACCGTGGGGCGTAGGGGTAGGGTTCGCATCTGGCCCCCTAGCTCACTCCCTCCGCGGCGGGGCCCGCCTCCAGCCTGAAGGCTCGGGGTCGACGGTCGGCCTGCCTGCGGCCCTCCATGCTGCGCCTGCGGCCCATATCGGGGGCCGTGGCGTGTACAGGCGGCCCGGATTAGCAGGTCGACCCTGCCAGATCGAGGGTACCCTCGTGTCCTGTGTCTTGCGACCCATGCCTCCTGCTCTCCTGTGGCAACGTGGCCCTCGGGAGGGTCTTGTGTCCTCCCGCGTGTCCTCTCCAATCAGGTCCCACTGTGCCACGCGGAAGCCCAGGCCGGAATGCACGGTACATGCTGAGGCCCGTGGCACTGCGGGTGGGGTGGTGTCGTTTGGTTTCTGGTCCAGACGGCGAGCGAGGGGGGGGAAGCGAGAAGGAGAAGGCCCTCCCAGAAGCCGGCGGCCTTCTCAGGAGAGCTTCTCTGTGCCTTTCCGGGGAAGGCTCAAGAACCTTCCTCGGAAGGCCGGGGGACTTGCGAGCCTCTGGAGAAGGCCCGCCCCTTCTCACTTCACTTACGTCTGGCCTGTCCCTCTACAGGAGGAATGTTCAACAATAGTCCCAAAATAGTCCGGGAACGATTCTTCTAATATTTTTGTTGTCCATGCTTGAGTGTTTTTGGACTTTTGAAGAAGTGCTCGTCCAAAACCCGCCTGTAGGGGGACACGCCCGACCCTCCCCCCTCCGTGATGGTTCGCATCCCTTACCATTCTGTCGATTCGGTTCCAGAGCCTGAACGTGGCCCACAGAAGGCCGATCGGCGCATCAGCGCCGCCGTCGTGAAGCTATCGTCGAGCTCTGGCTGATAAAATGGGCCTCGACCTTTCGGGGGGCGAGGAAAACAGCAAAATGGTAAGGGAAGAGTCTGCTTACCTCCCCCCTCCCCCCTCTGGCCGCCGATCTGGCGGCGCGGGGGGGGCCCGGTGGACCGCCCGCGCCCCTCCGCGAGCGGTCCGCCGGCTGCCACTGGAAGTGGTGGCTCCCCTCCCAGTAGTCTTGGCATCGCTCGGGCGTGTGCTCAGAGCCCCGAATCATCAGGGGTAACTCGGGTCAGGGCTAACTCGGGTTCGTTTTACGGGATTCCGAACCCGAGTTACCCCGGACACCCCGGACCCGAGTTACCCCGGATCATTCGGGCGTCCAGAGCCCCCGAATCATCAGGGGTAACTCGGGTCAGGGCTAACTCGGGTTCGTTTTACGGGATTCCGAACCCGAGTTACCCCGGACCCGAGTTACCCCGGATCATTCGGGCGCCCAATGTGCGTTTTTTCTCGGCGAGGGCCATCGAGGAGCATCCTTGATCATTTGGTGAAGCAACCACGCAGGAAACCGAAAAAAAAACACAGGGAATGGACGTCCGAGCGATGGCCAGTAGTCAGGCTGGGCCACCTGCCCACGGGCACCCTCGATGTGGGTCGGTTTCAGTCGGGCCTGTCCCTCTACAGGAGGAGGATCCCAAAATAGCCAGGCAGAGCTCTTCTGGGGACGGATTTTGGAGTACTCTTGAATACTTGTCCGCTTGTTGGGGTATTCTTGTCTTGTTCATTGTAGGAAGATGAAATCGGCCAACATCCCCCCTGTAGGAGGGCACGCCCGACCTAAGCCTCGGTCGGTCCATCCTCGGCCACGTTCGTTGGCCGCGCCCCCCTCGACAACAGGCTCCGAAGTGAGCGCCCGAGGCCTTTTTGCACCCTTCGCGCGCCTGCTTCTGCTACGGCCCGACTGTGAGCAGGCGGCGTCCGGCCTCGCGAGCAGGGCCGGGCAGGGCAGCGAGGGCTGAGTCGGGCACGGCCCTAGCTCCACGGGAGGCAGATCCACAGATAGCCAAAAACCAGTCTGGGGACGATCTGTGGAGCATTTTTCGATCACCTTGGAGTCTGTGTTGAATCTTTGTCACTGCTCCTCCCAAATTCCGCCAGATAGCCAAAAACTAGTCTGGGGACGATCTGTTGAGCATTTCTTGATTACCTTGGAGTCTGTGTTGAATCTTTGTCGCTGCTCCTCCCAGCCCCGCCTCTTCCAGGGGGGCACGCCCGGCCGAGAACGAAGGCCGGTGTGCCGCCCCCCCCCCCCTCCCCGCGCGCTCCCCGGCCTCCTGCCGCCGCGCGTGGGGGGCCGCGTGGCGCCCGCGGGTCGGAGGAGGAGATGTCGGGGAAGCGTACTCCAGGTTTCGTAATACAGGGAGGGGAGTCTCATGTCGGGAGGGGGGTCTCTTCCAGGCTATCTTGGAGGGCCTGGGGGGTCTGGGGACGATGTTTTGGAGGGTTCTCCCACGGGGGAGGTCTGAAATGGCTTGTCTTGGAGGGTCCAGACCCCCTCCCTTTTATTACGAAATCTGGAGTACACATGGTTCCTTGCTAATGCTTCGAAAGTTCTTTTCCGTTTTTGGGGGGCCAAGATCTTTTCGTTTCTACTTGTTCTACCCTGGGCCTCTTCCCGGCCACTGGGGGGACAGGAGCAGTTGGAAACGAGCACAATCAGAAATGAGCACGGTTAGAAACGAACGACGTGCAAGACTCGAGTAAGCCGGAACGCGGGTTAGCCGACTTTTTTTGTTGACGAGCGCGGCCTGGATTTTGACGGTCCCGTTGTCGTGGGACGTTTGCAGCGGGAGCCCGCGTCAAATTTCAGATGGGGTCTCGTCATTTTCATGATGGCCCCCGTCAGGCCAACCCGAGTCCCCCGTACCCGAGTCTTACGTCTCCCCGAAAAAGGGTACCCATACCTCTACTCCCTCGCCCGTTTTGCGTTTTTTGGGCCTCATGGGAGGCCCTCATCGCCACCACCGACGGATTCGCTTCGAAAGTCTGGTCCGGGAGCGGTCCGGGGAGTCGCGGTATCGGTACCTTTTGGCTTCCCCAGCGGTTTCCCCCCCCCCCCCCCCGTGCGTCGAGAAGTGGCGCTAAGAACCTTGTTCCTGTTCTTTGAACGGTTTGGGGTTCCACGAACGTGTCGGGGTAGGCCCATAGGAATGCCGGGACGGTCGGTCCCTGCTCAACTGCGGTAGTTTATTCCTCCTGGGGATCGGGCCAGTGCAAGATGGCGGAACAGAAGTACACGCCAGTCGTTTGCAGTAGGATTTTTTGTGGACTCACAGATCCTCATCTACTTTTGGCGCCTTTCTGCTTCAAGGATCGGCTGGTTGCCTTCTTCCCTCCTCTTCCAGGGGCGGGCGGAAGTGCAATCTACTTCCAACGCCTTCCTACTTCATGTCTCTACCCAGTTCTTCCGACTGGCGTGTATCGGGTTGGGAGGGTGTGGTCGGGAGAAATGAGGACATCACTGCCCGTCGGCGGCCGAAGGTATCGTTCCTTGCACCCGGATGCTGTTGCTCATGCCCTTCATCCTCCCAACCCCTTCCTCTCAACGCGGGCATGTTTCTCCTCGAAGATGGCAGGGATAGGGGGAGGTGTGGTTCGTAGAGGGAGAGAGAGAGAGAGAGAGAGAGAGCAAGCAAGCAACAGAAGGATCAATATAAAAAAGAATACGATAAGTAAATTTTTAAATGAGGAGAACAAGCAATAAAAAGAGAGAGAGAGAGATTGGAGGGAGGGAGGGAGGGAGGGGGGGAGAGAGGGAGAGGGAGGGATGGAGGTGCAGATGGGAGAATGGTGAGGGAACAACGTTCTAATACATTTTGTTCATACATACTGACATGTCTATATACTTGTATAGACAGAGAGAGAGAGGATATGAGAGAGAGGAGAAGAGAGTGAGAGTGAGAGAGAGAGGGAGTGAGAGAGACACAGAAACTGAGTGAGAGCGCGCGCGAGAGAGAGAGAGAGAGAGCAACAAACACGATCCTGGCGATGGACCCAACTATATGCAGTTGCGAGTGCCGCGCTGTGGGTACCGCTTTCGCTGGAGCTCTGCACGGGAACGCGAAGCGTGTGAGGGCTGTGCCGACGTGGGTGGGGCGGCAGCATGTGGACGCCGCCGCTGGGGCCTTCCGTGGAGCTCCCATCAGGGGCCGCGAAGCGCGTGGGAGGGGTGTGCCAAAATGGGGTGGGGCGGCCGCACGTGGACACCGCCGCCGGGGCCTTCGGTGGAGCTCCCGATGTGGCCACGAAGCGTGTGAGGTGTTTGCCGAAATTGGTGGGGCGGCCGCACGTGGACACCGCCGCCAGGGCCTTCGGTGGAGCTCCCGATGTGGCCACGACGCGTGTGAGCTGTGTGCCGGAGTGGGTGGGGCGGCCGCATGTTGACACCGACTTGGAGGCCTTTGGTGAGGCTCCCCTATGGGGTCACAAAGCGCGTGAGGTGTGTGCCGGAATGGATGGGGCGGCCGCATGTGGTCACCGCCACTGGGATCTTCGGTGGAGCTCCTTATGGGGCCACGAAGCGTGTGAGGGGTGTGCCGACATGTGCTACATGACGTGCGGAGAGCAGGGGCAGGGGTGTGTGGAGTGAGGAGGAGGAGGAGGAGGAGGAGGAGGAGGAGGAGGAGGAGGAGGAGGAGGAGGAGGAAGAGGAGAGGACAGGAGAGGAGAGGAGGAGGAGAGGAAAGGAGACGCGGGGTGCTGTCTTTTCGAAAAGGGGGACCCACCACCAAGAGATGGCTTGGAAGAACGACAGAGAGATATAAAGATAGAGGGAGAGAGAGAAAGAGAGAGAGAGAGAGAGACTCGACGGCGGGAGGTAGAGCCTGACGGAAGGGAGGAGGGAATATGGTGCAGGGGTAAAAAGGCGGGAAGAGAGAAGGAGCCATCGCATTGGCCGGCCGACTGAACTCTCCTCTCCGCAGGTGGCACCTCCACGCCAACACCATGCCTGGCCCTTGCTGGGCCTGGTGGTGGCGTGCTGGTGCTCTCCGCTTGTCCTCCCTCCTCCCAGGTGGAGGACTTCTACCTGGTGTCGGCGCTTCAGGCGCCCCCCGCTCCACACCAACCGGGCCTCGCAGGATCATCGGGCAGGAAACGATCGTGGACCTTGTTCGTTTGGACGTTTTTCGTTTTGAGTCCGTTTTCTTTACTTTCTTGGCCATTTGGAACTAGTCGTGGCTCAAGAGGTGGGCCAAAACGCTGCTACTGGGGCCATTCCATGTTCACCCCGCTTGAAAGCACACACGGAGACAGGTTAGGATGAACAGTGGGCCGTGGCGACCAGGTCTGGGTTTCCACGGATCCAGTATTGCAACAACACGGTCGACGTCATCTGCTCAGCGTGTCGCGCCGCTGGCCCTGGCCCACCACGCCGCGGCGCGACACGCTGACCACGTCCAAGCCGCCGAGCGTCAACGAGCAGAGTTCTCCCGAGCCTCCCGCGGCGCACAGCAACACTAGGGGGCCACATGCGAACCCTACCCCTACCCCCCACGATTTCTGAGGGGGAGGGTGGGGTTCGCTTCGCTCGGGAGCTCGCGAACGAAGTGAACCCCACCCTCCCCCTCAGAAATCGTGGGGGGTATGGGCAGGGTTCGCATGTGGCCCCCTAAACACGCTATCGGCTTGCAGGGCATGGCGTGTCCCTGGGGCCGCCGCCGCAACACCCTGAGCAACGGTTCCCGGCCGTGAGCACGTCGTCGGGGTCTGGGCAGGTGGGGATCGAGGCTCGTTTTAAGTTCGGCGTGTCCCCCTACAGGGGGATTTTCGACGAAAAATAAGAAATACCCCAAAAATGCCCCAAAAGGGTCAAAAAATATTCAAAACATAGTCCCCAGACTATTTTTGGATCATGTCTTGATTATGTTTGGGGTATTCTTTTATTCTTCGTCGAAAATCCCCCTGTTGGGGAACAGGCCCGACTTAAGGCTCGTTCCATGTTTTGTGCTGTAACATAGTTCGAGCCTCTGGAGACCTCCAGAGGCATTCGAGGACCACCCGGAGGGGTTGGGGGCCATCGGCAGACTTCCGCAGACACCCGGGAGGAGCAGTTGAGCATGTGTCTGAGCGTGGTTCCATGGACACCGCGCCGGAACTGTCACGAAAGGTCTTGTTCGTTAAGGGACACCCTCTCGGAGGTACGAAGGTCGCGTGGCCTAATCTACCACCGTCTTTGACCTTCTTTGCTCCCAGGGCTTCCTCAGCTCCCCGCTTGCATTCCAGACCAGACTTCCGCTTGGTTTCTTCGGACGATCCCAGAGAAAGCGAGGCACGTACGTTCTTACTATCAGTAGTTCTTTTCGCGAGTGTTATGTGGGAAGGCAGGCAGCTTGTGCGGACGTGGTCGTGATCGTGAGTCCGTGCCCTTGTGCGTGTCAGTTCTTTCTTATCGTTGCGATTGGACCGCTCACCCTTGCAGCAGGCCATCGGGATGAAGCCGCAGCTGGTCGCCAATTTGTTTGCCAACATGGACTACTCTGATCCGATCTTAGGCTACCTGTTCTGTTTATGTATATGTATGTGTAATCTCTCTTCACAATGTTCTGTTTTGCATCGAGTCCCGAATAGGAGCCACGCTTGTGGGCCGTTGTTTTCCTATTCGAATTCATGGGTGTGCCCAGTGCAGGATGCGCCGTTGCGGGGCCCACCTGTTCTTCTGGAACGGAGGTAGCTGCGCTTGACTGTTGGGTCGATTAGCCTTGCCACGTGCTGAGTTGGTTTTGAGATGAAGAGTGTGACGAATAATCATAATAACAGTAATAAGAAGCACAAGAAGAAGACGAAGAGGGCGAACAAACAGAGGACGAATAATAATAACGCATCATCTTCGAGGGAGCTGGCGACTGCCTCGGCCGGCGGAACCCAGCGGCAGGTCCACAGACGCCGGCTTGTGTAGGGCAAAGGGGTTCTTCCCAGAGCCCCGACGTCATGATTGCGAAGGCCTTACGGCCGGTGCCGCCGACCCTGAGAACGACGAAGATGAAAAGAAGGGGGCCAGGGGGAGGAAGATGAGTGGGAGGTGGAGGAAGGGTGGAGGATGTGGATGAGGGAGGAGGAGAGGTGGAGAAGGATGTGGAGGAGAAGCAAGAGGATGAGAAGGAGGCAGAGGAGAGCAGGAGGAGGGGGAGCAGAGGGGGGGGGAGAAGGAGGAGGAGGAGGAGGAGGAGACGGAAGAGGAGGAGGCCAGAGGCTTTCTTGGGACAGCCTGGGGCTCTCTTGAGACCGTCTTGGGCCGTCCAGGGCTCCTCTTGCGCCGTCTGGAGGCACTCTTGGAGGCCTCCTGGGCAATTAGGGGCTCTCCTAGGCTGTCTTCGGGCAGTTTGGGGGCCCCTTGAGAGCCTCTTGGGACCTCTTGGGGCTTCTTCGGGGCCTCTTGGGGGCCTCATGGGATTCAGAGCTCGAAATGTCCGTTCGGATCCCCCGTCTGGGCACTTTCCGGGAGCCGTCTTGGAGGCCTCTTGGACCGTCTTGGAGGCGTCTTGGGCCGTCTTGGGGCCTTCTTCGGCCGTTAGGGGACCCTCTTGGGGGCCTCTTGGGCCGTCTCGGGGCGATCTGGGGGGTCTCTTGGGCCGTCTTGGCGCGTCGGGAAGCGGAAGAGGCAAGAACGCATTTTTTTTGTCAAAGACGTATGGGACATCCAAGAATTTTGCCTCTTGGGGCTCTCGTGGGAAAGCTCCTGGAGGCCTCTTGGGCGTTTTGCAGGCTTCTGGGGCCGTCTGAAGGCCGTCAAGGCTTCTGGGGCCGTCTGGAGGCCGTCAAGGCGTCTTGGACAGATCGTTCGGCGATTCGGGGTCCTCTTGGACTGTCTTTGGGGCCTCTTGGGGCACTCTTGGCCCGTCTTGGGGCTTTTTGGGGGCCCGGGACTCCCAGGGGGGGCGTCGTATCTGAACCCCCCCCCCCCGGACCCCTCCCAGGGACCCCCCCCACCGGCGGGGGAGGGATCGAAGGGAAGCGGCTTCCCTTCGACTCAATTACGACGTTGCTCAACTTCGCTTTGGCTGGCGCGCTGAGGTCCCTGGGAAAGGGGGGAGCTTCGACGAGCCCAGGGAAAGGGGCGAGACAGGGAAAGGGGGACGATAGAGACGACGACCAACGAATGACAGAGATGACGACTTGAACGGACAAGCCCCTCACGCACGCCGACTGGGTCGGCGGTTTTTTCATGACGTCGACACCCGGTGGACTCGATCCGTTCCCCAGGACCGGCTTCTCATCTTGAGTCGCTTTTTGACGGCCCCGAGGCCCGGTAAGGGTTCCCAGAGAGGCCGAAAATTGCGAATAACCTTCCGTCGTGATTTTTTCAGAGAGGCCGAAAGTAGTGACAAAAATGTCCGTCGTGATTTTTTCATGACTCGAGGGGGTCTGGGTTTCTACGATCCTTGACTTGTCCCCTATGACCTCTTCTGCTATCCTACGACCTCTTCTGTGCAGGGCAGGAGGGTACCCCCCCTGCCCTACACAGGGAATCAACGACAGCTCAAGGATCGTAGTGTCTACACAAAAAAGGTAAGAGTCAAGGGAGGAAAAACCACCCGGACCCGATAATTGGAGTTTACTAAGTCTTAGTACGCGCCAATTATCGGGTAAACGCTAATTTAAGTAACGTTAATCAGCTTTTGCTTAGTAAACGCCCAGGGCCTTTTAAAGACCCTGGGCGTTTACTAAGCAGCCCTGCCTTGTTCGATTCCTTCTTTGCGTGTTTTTGCTAAACGGCCTCGCTCGTCGGGGTGGTTCTCACAGGGGTGGATCTCTGCCTTCTAGAAAGGAGACAGTTTCGGGCATAGCCAGGACCCCAAGTAAGGAGACCCGGTCAGTAGCAGGGCCCCAGGGCCCCTAAATTGGCCAGAGTCACTGAACCAGGTCTGCCGTAGCTGGTGTTTGTCGGGTGACGGCAGCTCCAGTCAGTGGAACGGAGCCTGGGGGGCGCCCCCCAGTACACATCACTAAACCAGGTCCCACTGAACCCAGTTCTGCCAACGCCGTACAATTCAAGGGTCGTAGAGAGAACCCGGCTCTCTCCCATGATCCCTGGGTGGTCTCTTCTTGCCTTTGCTGCGACGCCTCTGCTTACAATTAAGTTGGGCGTGTCCCTCCACAGGGGGAATATTCAAAAATAGTCGAAAAATAGTCTGGGGTCGATGTTTGGCGTATTTTGTAAATCATATTTGGGGATTTTTTGATTCGTTTTTATTTTTCGATGACCATCGGCCTGTAGGGGGACATGCCCGACCAGATCGTACAGAGAACCCGGCTCTCTCCTGCGATCCCCGGGTGGTCTCCTCCAGTCGGCCCGGATCAGCAGGTCGACCCTGCCAAATCAAGGGTGCCCTTGTGTCCTGTGCCTCGCGACGCGTGCCTTCTTACACTCCTATGGCGATGTGGCCCTCGGAAGGGTCTTGTGCCCTCTCGCCTGTCCTGTCCAGTCGAGTCCGACTGTATGCTGCCTCTGCTGCGGCGACGCTGCCCGCGAGACGCACGCGCGGGGGGGTCTCTTGCGCCGGAGCGGCAGGCAGGCCCAACGGGCGCCTCGCGGCTCCGAGGGGGGGGGCGCCTGCCCCCGAGCGGGAGAGGGAGTACCAAGAGGGGCTCGGTCGCTCCTTGCTGGGAGGGCCGTGGGGGGTTTGTAAGGGGATAGGGGGGGGGGCTCACGAGTGGATGCCAAGGTGGGTTATATCTGGCCCAACCTGGCTTGTAATCGGAGGTTGATAGACCTCCTACCCTGACGCGTCGATTAGCGAATTGGCCGTTTTCGGTTCGCGAGAGGGCGTCGCGGCCGTAATTCTTGCGGGTCCAGGTCCGTCGGTTTCGGTCCTAGGCCGCTTTTACTGAAGGGAGGTTTACTAAAGGGAGATTTGTTCACCGCTGGCCGATATAAGTGGGTTACAAGTGCCCCGAATGGCTTAGGGGGCTCGATGACTCCGCTGAGTGGGCGGAGCCCCGGTTCGGGGCATTTGTAACCTAAGCCAGGGCGGGCCAGATATAACCCGCCTCGGCATCCACTTGTAACCCCCTATCCATTTAGAAACCCGCACGGTCATCCCAGCAAAAGAGGTGCTCGGTCGTTCCTTAGGCTTGCATGCGTTATGCATCGTTCCCTTTCGCGTTACTTCTTATTTCTCGTTCCTTGTGCGCTACTCCTGGGAAACATTAGGGTTAAGTCGGGCCTGTTCCTCTGCAGGAGGAATATTCCAAAAAAACAAAACATATTACGGGGACATGTTTCATGATAATTCTCAACAGGTTTAATATATGTGTCTGTTTTGTTTTTATTTTCTTCCCACCATCCGCTTTTAGGGGGACGCGCCCGACCGAACCTTAAGTTTGCATGCGTTATGGATTGTTCCTCCTGCGTTATTTATTATTTCCCGTCCCTTATGCGCTACTCCTTGGAAGGATTCGGGTTAGGTCGGGCCTGCCCCTCTACAGGAGGAAGTTTCAAGAATAGTCAAGACATATTATGGGTCCATTTTAAAGATTATGTTTAAACATGTGTTGGGCATTTCTCCCCTTCATAATCCGCCTTTAGGCGGACGTGTCCGAACTAACCGTAGGTTTGCATGAGTTATGTCTTATCATGTTGCGTTATTTCTCATCCATCGTTCTTTATGCGTTACGCTTTGGATCAAGCCGGGTTAAGTCGGGCCTGTCCCTCTACAGGAGGAATATTCAAAATTAGTACAAACATATTATGGGGACATTGTAAGGCTATGTTCAAACATGGTTTGAGCATTTTTTTGTTTTTTTTATGTTTCCCCCCCCCCGTAATCCGCTTTTAGGGGAACACGCCCGACCTAACCGCGGGCTTGCATGCGGTATGAATCGTTTTTTTGCGGTATGTCGTATTCATCGTTCCGTATGCGTTACTCCCTGGAAAAATTTCGGTTTAGTCGCGCCTGTCCCTCTACAGGATGAATATGCAAAGATAATCAAAGCATCTGATGCGGACAGTTTCCATCTAATGTTGTTGAACATGGTTTGGGCATGGTTTGCCTATGTTTATATTCCCCCCCCTATAATCCGCCTTGGGGGGGGGGGCACGCCCGACCTAGCCGTAGGCTTGCACGTGTTATGGATTGTTCCTTTTTGCGTTTTTTCCTAATTCATCGTTCCTTATGCGTTAGTCCTTCAAAACAATCGGGTTAAGTCGGGCCTGTCCCTCTGCAGGAGGACTATTCAAAATACCAAACACATCGTCGGGGGACATGTTTTCAACTATTTGGGGGCATGTGTGGGGTATTGCACGACCATTGTATATTCACCCCCCGGTTCCCCGACTCCGCCTTCAGGGGGACGCGCCCGACCGAACCTCAAGCTTGCATGCGTTATGTATTGTTCCTCGTGCGTTATTTCTGATTCATTGCTCCTTATGCATTACTCCTTTTGCAAAATTAAGGTCAAGTCGGGCCTGTCCCTTTACAGGAGGAGTGTTCAAAAAAGAGCGATTGCACACTTTATGGGGACATTTTTTTCGCAAATAATGATTGAGCATTTTGGGAGAATTATCGGACTATGTTCCCCTTATCATCAGCCTTTAGGGGGCACGCCAGACCTAGTCTTAGGCTTGCATGCGTTGTGTATCCTTCCTCATGTGTTATTCCATGTGTTCTCGCTCCTTATGCCTTATTCCTTGGAAGAATTAAGGTCGTGTCAGGCCTGTCCCTCTACAGGAGTAATTTGCAAACTTAGTCCAGAAATACTCTGGAGACATATGTTTACTATGCTTGGGCATGTTCGGAGCATTTGTTTCACGAAAGCCTTCAGAATCCGCCTTTTAGGGGGGCACGCCCGACCTAACCGTAGGCGTGCATGCACTACGTATCGTCCCTTATGCGCTATGTCTGACTTATCGCTCCTTATGCGTTACTCCTGGGGAACATTAAGATTAAGTCGGGCCTGTCCCTCTACAAGAGGAAAATTAAAACATAGTTTTGAAAATGATCGGGGACATTTGTTTTGATATGTTCGGGCACATTTGGAGTATGTTCTGACTATTTTTGAATTTTCCCCCATAATCAGCCTGTAGGGGGGCACGTCCGACCTAACCTTAGGCTTGCATGCGGTCTGTTGTTCTTTTTGAGCTATTTCTTATTCATCGCTCCTTATGCGTTACTCCCTGGAAAAATTCTGGTTAACTCGCTCCTGTCCGTCTACAGGGTGAATATTCAAAGATATCCAAACAAAAGTATGGGGACATTTGTTTTACTATGCTTGGGCATGTTTGGTGTATTTTCTGACTATTTTAGAATTTCCCCCCCATAATCCGCCTTTAGGGGGACACGCCCGACCAAACCTTACGCTTGCATGCGTTATGTCTCGTTCTTTATACGTTATTTTTGATTTATCGCTCCTTATGTGTGGCTCCTTGGAAAATGAGGGCCTCGTTCCTTGTTGATCGTTCCTTAGGTCGGGCCGACGATTGTACTTGTCCGGATCTATGCCAGGCCCAGCCAGGTCCCCAGTCAAGGAGAGCCGGTCAGGGATTGGGCCCCGAGGCCCTAAACATAGGCTGGAATCATTCAACCAGGTCTGCCGCAGTTGGTGTTTTTCGCGTGGCGGCAGCTCCTGTTGGTGGACTGGGGCGGGGGGGCGTGCCCCGGTACCATCACTGAACCAGGTCACACTAAACCCAGTCCTGCCAACGCACGACTATGAGTTTGGTAGAAAATCGTATTGGCCCAGGTCCGACTGTACGCATTCGTTCCCCGATTCCCTTTCCCTCTGTAGGCACGCTGACGGCGATGTAGGCAACGGCGATGTAAGTGTAAGTCGGGCCTGTCTTTCTACATGTGGACTATTCAAATACAGTCCGAAAATAGCCTGGGGGCGATGTTCCGATTATTTCTGAATGGAAAAGCTTTGGGTATGTTTTATTTTTCGTTCTAAATCCGCCTGTAGGAGGACATGCCCGACCTAAATGTAGGTTCCAGTCTTGTGGGAACGCGTGGCCCGTGCTTTCCTACGATTCGCTGTGTCGTCTCCGTTTGGCACATTCGCATAATGTTCGGTCGCAAATTCTTGGAGCCTTGTGTGCCCTCATAGTTCTGACTTTGGCGTCGACTAGCGTCGACGAGATGGCGCCGAATCAGCGCCAATCGGCAGCGTGGATTTCGCGTCAATTAGCGTCGATTTAGCGTCGGGAGGGTGTGTTCCAGGAGGGGAAAATACACAGACAAAAGTAATCGCCGATCCCCAGGAAAAGATATGGAAATAAGAGAAGTGGGGGGAGGAGGACACGACAAAGCCAGAAACTATGGGAAAAGATGGGGAATCCTGTGATGTGTGTCTGCTTGTGTGTGTGTGGTGTGTGTGTGTGTGTGTGTGTGTGTGTGTGTGTGTGCGTGCGTGCGTGCGTGCGTGCGTGCGTGCGTGCGTGCGTGCGTGCGTGCGTGCGTGCGTGCGTGCGTGCGTGCGTGCGTGCGTGCGTGCGTGTGCGTGCGTGCGTGTGTGTGTGTGTGTGTGTGTGTGTGTGTGTGTGTGTGTGTGTGTGTGTGTGTGTGTGTGTGTGTGCGTGCGTGCGTGCGTGCGTGCGTGCGTGCGTGCGTGCGTGCGTGCGTGCGTGCGTGTGTGTGTGTGTGTGTGTGTGTGTGTGTGTGTGTGTGTGTGTGTGTGCGTGTCTGGGCTCCTTTCGTGTTGCAGCATCGCTGGTGCATCCCAGGGTCACTCTGGCCCTCGCTCGCGGTGCCCCAATAGGCCCAAGGGCCGATGGCCCATGGGGCCCGAGAGCTGCCCCCTCGCACGGCGCGGGCCTGGCAGGCTGTTCAGGTCGAGCCTCGACGCCCACGCTGGTCTCGAGACTCCCGCCGGCCTGCGGGCCGCGCAGTCGCGGACCCAGACCGAAGAAGAGTCAAGAAGCGAGCCTCTGCTGGCCGCACCCGGGCCACGCCCGCGCTGCCAGGCCGCGGCGCCGCCGCCGGGGGGGGCCTGGCTGGCAGGGGGGGGGGGGACTTGGGCAGCCAGCCCCGCCCAGGGGAGCCTGAGGGTGGGCCACGGTGGCCGATCGCCGATCTCTCGGCGCTGCATCGCCGAACCGACTCGAGGCCCCCCCCCCGTCGGGGGAGGCCCCCCCCCCCCCCGGGTCGTCGTGCCCCCATCGGCGGGCGCGCGCCGCGCGCCCAGGCGTCCACACCCTCCGCTTCTACAAGCACGGCCAGTGGGCGCCGCGCGCCCGCGGGCGGGGTCGGCGGGGGAGGCGGCGGCGCCGCCACCACCCGGGGGGGCCCACCTCTGGGCGAGGAGGGCTGCGGTGCCCTCCCGGGGGCCGCAGGCCGGAGCTGTCTCGAGCGGGGCAGGCGGGCCGCACCACCAGGAGGAGCAGCCCTGGCCATGTAACCCCTCCCGCTGGTGGCGGGGGTGCCCCCTGCCGCACGCCTCCTCCGCCCGGGAAGGAGGGCGGAGGAGGGTATTGGGATGACCAGGGGGGGGGGTTCCCAGTGGATAGGGGGGTTACAAGTGGATGCTAAGGTGGGTTGTAGCTGGCCCACCCTGGCTCATAAGTAGGTTACAAGTGCCCCGAGTGGCTTAGGGGGTCAACGATCTGGGCGAAGTGGGCTCCGCCCACTTTCACAGAGTTATCTAAGCCCCTAAGCCACTCGGGGCACTTGTAACCCACTTGGTAAGCCAGGTTGGGCCAGATAGGACCCACCTTAGCATCCACTTGTACCCCCCCTATCCATTTAGAACCCCCCACGGTCATCCCAGTAGATGGCAAGTGAGCGTCGGAAGGAGCTTGGGTCGTCTTCGCCGACGTTGGCGCGCAGGATGCCCGCGGAAGGTCGCGCGTGAGTGCCCTCGTGACCACAGCGGCGCGTGCCGCGCCGGCGGCTTGCGTGAGGCACTGCGTGAGGTCGCCACCTCGCGCAAGACCCCTTCTGTCGGGGGTTGCTGAAGGTGCCCCTGGCCCAAGGTACCTCCAGCTTCTCGCTCAAGTTTGAAACCCCTGCGGCCCTCTGGGCCTCGTGAGGGGTGCTCTGGAGGCCGTGGGGGCCTCCTTGGAAATCCTGGGGGCACCTTGGGCCAGGGGCACTTCTAGCAGCACCCGATTCATCCGCCTCCCTGGCGTCCTGGAGGGATCCCGCCGCCACGTCTGCATCCGTCCCAGAGTCCTGGATCCGCCATACGTGCCGATGTGCTGCCTATGTGCATTTGCAGACCATCTGCATCGCGAGTGGACCAAAAGGTGCTCTGGGGGTCTCCCGATGCTGTGAGGTGCCCGTCACCATTGACGACCAGCTGCCCTTCGATCGCGAGTACAACCCGCTCTGCATCACCACCGAGTTCTGGCACGCGCCGCCCCAGCTCCAGCGGCAGTGCCTCATTCGCCGCCTGTCGTGCAGCTGTTCTGTTATCAAAGTTTTACCGCTGCAGCGTCCGATTGGGTGCATCTTCCCCCCCGAAGGGAAAGAAGTCTCGGGGGGGGGGCGCACTGAGGGGGGGTCACGGACGCGGGGTCGCAGGGCCCTCCAGCTCCACCCCCCCCGTTAACGTCAACGAGTCCCAGCTTGTTTTACCACTCATCTCTCTATCCCCGCGCCCTCCCTTGACCCCCGTGGAAGCGACTGGCTGGCCGTATTGTAACCTGACGCTTCCGCGATGCCCGCTTGTTTGTTTCATCCGTTTTGCCTCATTCGTATCTCCTCCGCTCTCCCCAGACCTCCAACGTCTTGACCAGCGTCGCAAAAGTCAGCTATTTGTCGATGCTTCCATCGAGTGCAATTGCTCAGGCATCGGGACCATCAATGAGTTACTGAGGAGTACAAGGCCCCATTACCCCTGAGAGGGAGTCAAGAACTCTGTGGCCAGTGCATTGAACAAACGAGATGTCGGAGGTACAGGTCTGATTCCCTTAACCCAATTAGGTCAGCATCATGAGTTTCGTTCGCCTTAATCCCGACGTTCATTGTTTGTAGTCTGATCTCGGACGAAGAGGGGCTGGCGACACCTACTGCCCCGCGGTTGGTTCTGAGACGCACTGTCGGTGATGAGCTCTCTGCCAGCAGGGCGGTGCATTTTGTTCTACGACGGACGGCCGAGCCAGCAGCCGTAAGGCGGTTGCACGCCGAGCAAGTTTGGTCGGGCCCGGCCTCCGAGCGACCCAGGGTGCCCCTGTCGGGCCGCAGTGCCAGGCGGACGCCTTGAGACTCGCATCGTCCCCAGGCTTGGCTGCCGATCTTGACGCTTCTTGTTCTGCGGGCCCAGCCCTCCGAAGCTGTGGTGTTCCGTCTGCTCAGGAGTGGAAAAAAACGCAGAAGCAATGAATCGTCAACTCCCACAAAAATTTTGGAAAATATGGAAAATTGGGGGAAGACGAACATGCACGGAATCCTGGGACTTGTGTCTGCTTATGTGTGTGTGTGTATGTCTCTGTGTGTGTGTGTGTCCCAGGGCCCTTTTATAGGGTGCCCTCGGACCCCTCGACATCTCCTCGGGAATCGGGCGTGTATCCCATATGGGCCGGAGAGCGGCAACCGGACGACAAACACGACGAAACATGTCATCGTCGAGTGAGTTTGAACTGAGATTTTATTGGGTCAAATTTTGCCCCCCGATTTTGTCTTGGCCTTCGTGGTGGATCCAGCCGTGGCCACCAGGGCGCCCCAGGAGGCCCTCGAAACGCCGAGAGACCTCGATCCGCGTTCCTCGACCCCGCCCTGGTTTTCCAGAAGGCTACACTCAGGAACTTTGGCTTCGAGTGTCGCTCCGCCGGTTCTGGCCCGCCAAGCTGCGGTGCGACACACTCTCCACGTCCCCACTCTCAAGCGTCAACGTCCTGAGCCTGTCCCAGCCTCCCGCCCCGCGGAGCGGAGCGTGACGCCATCAGCTTGCAGGGCCCCGCGTGCCGCCGGGGCTGCCAGCGTGACACGCTGAGCAGAAGATCCTGATCTGGACCCCTCCTGCCTCCCGAGATCTTCCCGTGGAGAGGAGGAAGAGGAGGAGGAGGAGGAGGAGGAAGAGGAGGAGGAGGGGGAGGAGGAGAAGGATGAGGAGGAGGAGGAGGAGGAGGAGGAGGAGGAGGAGGAGGAGGAGGAGGAGGACGAGGAGGGCGAGGAGGAGGAAGAGGAGGAGAAGGAGGACGAGGAGGACGAGGAGGAGGAGGAAGAGGACGAGGAGGAGGACGAGGAGGAGGAGGAGGAGGAGGAGGAGAAGGAGGACGAGGAGGAGGAGGAGGAGGGGGAGCAACAAGCCACGGCGTATTCAAGGCCGTGGCAGGGCGCCCGCCCCGCCCACAGGGGGCCAGCCGCGACCGAAGCGCCCTACCATTTACATCCCATAATCTTTACAGCCCTATGAATCTCAACTCTTTGCCTCCAGCAGTATATCTGAGTGCGCAGTCGTGACAAAGGCGCACGGCACGCGGACGGAGCCCTCGACCTCACGACAACGACATCCGCTTCGGACGAGCACCACTTAATTACCAAGGCCATTTTGGCCAGCCGACACCACGAGCACTGCAGCAATTCGCAAGCAGTGGCACAACAACTTCTTTGACTTCTCCCAACCCTGTCTGGCACGGCAAAGAGAAAGAGAGAGAGAGAGAGAGAGAAAGAGAGACAGAGAGAAAGAAATACGTGCAGCGGCACGCACACTACTACGGGTTAGCCTCAGCGCGCACCCTACTCGACCAATCGACCCACCAGCAATTTCAAGCAGCTCGACTACTACTAAGCCAACACCACAGCGCACAGCAACCACCACGACCAACCGCAGACACAATGTACAATTACACAAACCCCCAAAGCCAAAGGCAAAGGCAAGAGGAAGTACCAACAGCGACACAACAACAGCGAAGGCAAAGGTCCAACGTGGCATCCAGTCGGTCACACTGGTCACGCCCGCTCAGCACGAACCGACATACACAACACAATCACCGCACCAGCAGCCAAAAGGTTGCACATGCATTCAAGCAGCGACAGCAGCACCATACTGGGCACAGCAGCCTCACACTCCCAGGGCCACAAAGCTCGCCCACACCAAGGCCCAAACCAAAACAACCACCAGCCCCACCAGCACGGAGCAACGACGATGTACCGCAACCATGCTTCGATAGCAGCCCAGAACATGCAGCGCACACCATACGAGAGAATCTGGCATCCATCGACAGCATAGCAGAAGCATACCGCAACGACGTTTCGTTCAAAGACACACCTGGAGCTACGCCACTTGGAGTGTGAGCCTGGTCCACTTCAAGAGCTCATGCCTTGCGGAAGCTTGCAGCGCAGAAGTTGGCAGTGGAAAGTGCGGGCCAGGAGGCTAGCCAATTCGGCGCGAACTGGCAGTCACCAGCAGGCAGCCACTTGACCACAAACCCGAACCTGGAAAGCTCCACTACATGCAATGATCCAAAGACGACTACACCGCATGCCCTAAGCTTTCAGCAGCAACGCTAAAGCAACCTCAGCAGAAACACGACGACACCATCAGGAACTAAGACCTACGCAAACCTCGAGAAGGAACTGACCACCAACCGACAGCACACGCCCAGCCCAGAGTCACGAGCACAAGACGTGCAGCTCTGCGCGCACCCAAAGGAACGACCACCACTAGAACCCCTCGGAACGTCCAATCGAAACACCAGGGCAGGCCAAGAGACACATATGCTCAAGGCACTACTGGAAACAGCGTACGACGAGCTTAAAGCCAACGACTAGACCATCTCAGAGCTAAGGGCAGCTCCACGACGACGCAGACAAAGTAGATCACAACAGCAACTACAAGCAGCTGGAGAAACCATGCGACAACTACAACAAGCAGGCGACCATTTGTCCAACGACTACCACTAGACAGTAGAGCGTCACCAAGCACTACGACAAGCAGAACGTCGAATGCAAGCGCTCAAGGCGACAGTCATGAGACAAGAAGAGGCAGTGCAGGACGAGCAAGGCCAACATCAGTTAGAGAGCCTCACGGAGCAAGCGCTCCAATACCACGCGCAATTCCATATCCTACAGGCACAGAGCGACTACTGTGCCACAGCACACCGCGCACACCAAGCACAGCACAACGAGCCAGAGGCCATCATTGCAGAGCTCCGACGAGAAATCTTAGAACAAACGCCGTTTACGACAAGACGAGCGACTTGCGACAAGCGACAGCCACATAAACGACATGTTGAAAGCAGAACAGGCAACCTGAAGAACAGATGCGGCGCGCGATACTGCGTATACACCAGGACAGCAGACAACAACAAGAAGAGCAGGCGCACATAGACGGTCATAGACGGACCCTACATGATCATGGCAGACCAAACGTTTTCATTGACTAGAGCAAGGGTTGCCACGGGAAGTCCAACAATCCAGGTCGCACGCTCAATAACACCAGGGCCACGGAGAACAGTGCGCACCTTACGTGGCACAACGTGCACCAATCCAAGAGGTCATTGTAGCACAAGAAGCAGCACAGACAGCACAACGACTTCAACAAGCAGAGAGCCACCTGCAAAACAAATATACCGCCCCAGAAGTAGCACACCTCATGGCAAGTGCAAAATAACAACTCAGAGTTGCCAGCCAGCACTATCAGCATCGCCTGCCCACGGCAGAACAGTACCATCAAGGCGCTGAAGCGCGCATTCGGAACCAGCACACCGCGCTACGCAAATACATTTCTGCGCGCGACCTGTCTGAGAAATGGCACGTTGAGAGAGAAACTGAACTAGCGGCACTACTACACCAAACAAAGCAGACTACGCACGGAAACAGCAAGACCTACTTCCAGGACTTGATCGACCAGCAATAGACCTTGATCACGACATCGAGGACGCGGACGCGATGCGTATAGAAGAAGGCAAAGTCGACCAAAGACGACAACAACAGCGACATCAATAACAAGTGCAAGACGGAGCCAGTCGACTGGAAGACGACTCGAGGGCACTCTCGGCGACGACTTCGACGTCTTCCGCGACATGAGGGGCGACGCCACGGCGACACGCAGCAGGGCGCGCACACCAACAATGTTCTTCATTGACACGACACCTGCACCGCCCTAGTGATATGACTCACCACGACGAGTTGACTCGCTCACGGAGCCACCGCTCACACCAAGAGATGCAGGCTCCTCCGGAGTCGCTTCCTGACGGCCCCGGGGCCCGCGGAGGGCCCCGCGAGCCCGAGCTATATAGAGCAGCGCAAGACCTCGCGACCCGCCTCCCCCACTATATAAATCTAACGCCTCTCAAATGCAACCGTTTTCTTTTTCCGCCAGTGTTTAAGAGAACAAGCGTAGTGTTGTCTCTGCATGAGGATTTCTGAAACCTCTGAACTGGGTCGGCGCTGATCCTCTCTGCACACACACACATATATATGTATATATATATACATATATATATATGTACACACATACATCCATGTCCCCTCCTCCCGTGGCCACCCGGCTGCGAACGCTTCCCCGCGCCCGAGGCCCCGGGCCGGAGGCCCGGGCGGCAGGCCGAGCCGCGAGGCCCAGAGGCCCAGGCCTCCGAGGGCCGAGGCCGGAGGCTCGGGCTCGCTCGGGTCGGCGGGGGCGGGCGCGCGCGCGCGCCCGGCCGCCCGAGCTCGGCGGGGCCCTCGATCGGGCCCGGCGCGGGCCTGCCGGGCTCGGCCCTCGAGCTCGGCCTGCAGGCCACGGGGCTCCCGGCTCGTCGGCTGGGCCTCGGCCTCCGGCTCGGGCCTGCGGCTCCAGAGGCCTGCCAGATGTCGGAGGAGGAGGAGGAGGAGGAGGAGGAGGAGGAGGAAAAGAGCGTACCCGTACCGCTGCCGTTCGCC